CCTTCTGATGCAAACTATAACACTGGCTTACTTTCCCCTCCTTGCCCCCTTTGCAGATTTCTATTAGACACACGCAATCCCTTGCTGCATGTTTTTATTTGCATGCTTCTTATCCCATTCTAGACCATCAAAGATGCCAGTCATTCAATAAATATGGAGAGACACATTATGACTGGCTCCAGGTGACCCAGCAGATGCAGTTCTTGCCTTTGCGAAGTACAGATACAGGGGAGGCACATGTTACACAAGCAATTAAACAATTGACTGATAAAGTTAAATCATTAAAAATGCTTCAAAGTACAAACCTCAAGTATAGGGCTTATACACAGTCCAAAAAAAAAAAAAAAGGGTTTCATTTTCCCGTATATCCCTAGCACTTTGAATGATGATGGGTATCTTAAGTGTTAAATGAGTGTCATCAACTGAATGAATAAATGCTTGAGTAAATAAACATGCTGATTTTTCCAAAGTGTTAAAAGTTTAAGTTTTAAGAGAGTAAAAAGCTGTAAGATTTCAACCAATCTTCTATCAAACATACTCAGAGGGATTTTTGAGAAAAAGATTTATAAACTCATAAAAACAAAACTGATTCCCTAGAAACTGCGATGGGTTTATTAGCAAATAATTACAGATGAATCTAGCTGCCTAAACTAAGAGAACAAGGTTGGACTGATAGATGTATGCAAGCATTCAACAAATATGTATTAAGTGCCTGCTTGTGTCTATCGGGTGCTGACGCTTAGTAGTCCAAGGTGCCTGATCTCATCCTACTTATAGCCTATTTAAGGGACTTGAGGAGGCAAAAAACAAACAAGTAAGAAAAAACAAACCAATGAGATTCTGGTTTGTTGTGGGCACCACAAAGAAAGTGAAAATACATCACATAACCATGGGCAGGTGTTGAGTGCATATAGGAGACAGGGCAGTTGACTTTGGAAGGAGGATCAGGGTGGTAGCATTAGAATTAAGAACCACAGTAGAAATTAGCTGGGTGTGGTGGCACATACCTGAGCAACAGATTGAGGCTCCAACTCAAAAAAAAGAATTACTTTGGCAGAAGAAGCCAACAACCGGGTACCTTCTGGGAAAGATTGTTCAATGAGAATTTTTACTTGCCAGTAAAGAGTTTCATTTTATTTTAAGTGAAGCAAGTAAGGAAATGTCATGCTTTTGTTTCTTCTTTATAAAGAGCACTTTTGGCAACTATACAAAAAAGTGAATTTGGGGAGATTGTGGTGGAAAAACAGGAACTCCAGGTAAGAGGCTCCTGAAAAACCCTAGGAGAGGCTTCTAGTAACAGAGGCAGGGAAAGTACATGGTTTTAGGACATGTTTCAGCGAAAGAAACTCGTAAGTCATTACTGTGAACTGTAAAATGTTGTACAGGACCAGAGGTTACAAAAAAGGAGGAACCCAGGCTGCTTCTTAGGACTTTGCAGAAGCAAGAGGGTGGAGAGTGGTGTCGTTTACTGAGACGGAAAATGAAAAGGAGAAGGTTGCTGAGGGCGCTGGTCATCAAGAGTTCCATTTTGCTATATTAAATCTGAGATATGTATGATAGTCTCAAACGGAACTCTCGGGCGAGCAATTGCATATGTCATTCCGGAGGTCAGTTCAGGAGACACAGATGGGGGGCTGACCGGCATGTGGATGGTGTGTAAAGTTATGGAACTCCATAGATTCAGTGAGGCATGAAGTGTAGATGGAAAGTGGTCGGACTGAGATAGTGTCACCAAGCCCTATTGGGATAGTGTGAAAACTTTAACAGTTTTTTTTTCCTCTAGTCTCTTAGGAAAACTCTTAACAGAGCCTCTCTCGTTTCCGTCTGTGTAGGCACAGCTACTTGAAATGTCCAGCTCCCTGCCAGATATCAGAGAAAATCCAGACCCTCTGCAAAACCAACTTGGACTGGAATGGGCCAGTACAGACCAGCACTTGCCTTTCGCTTATTAACATGCCATTGTAATGCTAAAAATTCCTTCCTTTCCCTATAGCATGAGACAAAAAGAGAAGCATGTTCATGAACCACGCTTGCGTGTCCAAAACTCTACCCTGCTCGTGCTTGCATGCCCCCCTTGACTTCTTAAATATCCTGTTGCTCGGGGAGAAGAAGTTTTCAGAATGTGCATTCCCCTTGTTCATTCTTTGGCCCATCTAATAAAACCTGATTTTCTTTCCCAATTGGACATTCTTTTTTGCAACTAATAAAAAGTAAGAAAAGAACAAAGTTTACTGGTGACAATAACATCCTGAGAAAGCGTAGGAATAGAAAAGGAGGTGGGAGGAAAAGCCAGGTTTTTAAAATATGAACATGGCAGTTGGAACCAAATACTGCTGAGAGGTTGAGTGACGTGAGAAATGTGAAGTGACTTTGGATTTGTCTTCTTAGAGGTCACTGGTGATCTTGATTAAAGTTTCTCAGAGCATTCTACATTAGTCGGACTTCCTCCACAGAAGCAGGAACAATAAAATGCTTATATACACACATACATACATACACACATATACACACATATATATATACATATATATATATATGAAGATATTTATTGCAAAAAATTGGCTCAAGCAATTGTGGGCCTGGCTAAGCAAGTGTAAGATCTGCAGGGCAGACCATCTGCAGGGCGGACTGAAAACTCTCCAGCAGGAGATGGAGCTGCGATCTACAGGTGGAATTTCTCCTTCCTGGGGGAAATCTCAGTTCTGTTCTTGGAACCTTTCAACTGATTGAATTAGGCCCACCTAGACTATCTCAGAAATCTCCTTTACTTAAAGTCAAATGATTGTCGACATAAACCACATCACCTAGATTAGCCTGGCCAAGTGGACACATTAAACTGGATATCTAAAGATTTATAGGAATCAGCTGCAGAGCAAAGGGAAGTGAGCAGTTGGAGACTGAAACTGAAGAGAAATTTTAAAGAGAAACCATTTGTGAAGAGGAGGGAAGAGGAAAAGGAGAGGTAGCTGCTAGTTAGGGCCACGTGTTTTTTGTCATTGTTTTGCTTGCTAGTGTTTACAGTGAGGCTTTATGATCATAAGATTACTACAGTTACAAAAGGAAAAATGATAGTGCTGAATGGCAGGCTTGGATTCAACAAGCAAGCTGAGGCATTCGTTTTAGATAGAAACGGAGAGATGTGTTCTTCCTCCAGTCACTCCCAAAAGGACCAAAACACCATTGCTAGTGATTGAGTATCATAAGGCGCCTGCTTGAGCTTCATGAGAGAAAAGGACATTCTGTGCCCAACAACTCCTGGGGATGACTAACTTCCCATTACTGGCAAGATTCACCTGAGGGCAGTTTATCCCCTTAGAGGATGCCCGGGATCTGGGTCCTACGTGGAGAAAGGTAAGACTTGGGTCTCTCAAAGTCAGCTCTTAGCTTGGTCTGAATTTGGCTTTACTAGATCAATGAACTTCCTAAGACTGTAGAAAATATATATGTTATTGCGGGCAGTTTTCTGAGGAGAGAGTCCCTTGCCGCCTTCAGATTCTCAAAGGGTTCTATCACCAGAAAATGGTAGACATATGGCTCAAAAGTGTCATTCAGCCCTACAATGTGCAATTTCACTCGATGCTACAACTCTTTCTGGGCAAGCATACAGTGTGGCCGAACTGACCAGACTAGGAGAAAGCAAAAATATGAGGATACGTTAAAGAGTAATAAGAACCTTAGGTCAAAATAGATGACCAGCATAATAATATAAATAAGCTTTTTATTACAGCCTAAAGTTTCATGATGCGTTTAAAAATAAACCTTCTGGCAATGACAACTTGTGGTCAAAGAAGAAGTAGCATGAGAATCTGGAAGCCCCAGAGGTCTCGGGAAAGAACACATATACCCTTTTAGGTGTTCTGTGTCTTATGATGCAAAGGTTAAAGTGGAACGCAGTTCCTCACAGGCTTAATGATTTGTTGATGCATCTGTTCCGAAATACATTCTTTCTGAAAACGCTTCTTCGAGATAAATTCGGTCATTTCATCGGTAAATTTCCTCTGTACAGGATTTTATTTTCAGCAGTTACTCTATGTCCATAGTTTACCTGGAGACCTTGCTACCATTCAGCTTTTTGAGTCCCCATTTCCAGAAATCATAAACCAGTTTGTATGGGCTAGAGAAAGGGAAATGCGTTTTTTAGGCAATGCTTCCATTGATTCTGATGCAGGCATTCACTAAGGAAAACAAGGACAGACATGTCACCCGTTAGGCACTTCTGTGACCCAAACAGGAATCTACTTTACTAGTTTAGATGAAAATGTTCGGGATCAAATAACTTTACGCATTAGGAGTCAGTTGGGTATTAGCATATAAGCAGAATGTCACTGCTTAAGGCAGAAAAATAATGTATTATGATGCAATTTCAAGTTTCAGTACAAAGCCTTCAGGAAAGAATTATAAAGATAGGAACCTTCTCTGAATAATTTTATCCCTACTCTAGAGTGACCACCAGTTCTACCCATGCTTAAAATCTTCCTAATGTACAAAACAGAGCTCTACTTTAAAATTTAGTACAAACAATTCACAGATGAGTGAATGGAGTACAGTGTTTCAAGAGGGAAACATTCCATGAGTTACGCATGGTTGAAATGTTCCTTTTCCTCCTCTTCTGAAACAAGTCAAGAAGGAGAACTTTTTTCTCTTCGTGGCTTGAGGGCAATGGGGGAGTGTAGACTTTATAATAACTCATCCCACTTCTGGGGGAGAACTGAGCTTAAATAAGGACAAATAGTTGCTCAAGTCCCATGAGCTCTTCACTTCGAATTTTTTGTTGAGCCTTGATCACATTATCAGTTCTGTGTTCCTTTAGCCCTAAGTAGAAGACAAGGTTTTCCACTTTGGGGCTGAATTGTACATTTTCAATTATGTATACATGAGTTATTAAAGTCTAGAACTAACTTTGGAATAAGACTATTGTCATTCTCAACATAGAAAACGGATCTTCTGTGGACAATGCTACGCATATGCAGTGGTGTTAAATAGTATATGTGGGTACTTACTATAAGAACACCCGTAGACCTCAACTCTCATGCCAATCTTTCCACTTGGATTCCATCCCAGGGGTACAAAGCGAACAAACCGGGCTCGCACTGAGTGCAGTAGCTTGTGGTGCACCACGCTGTCAGCATTCATGTTTCCTGCAAAGGTCTAGAGAGAAAGGGAGACTCGGTGAGGTCTGTAATACCAAGGAATATTCATGGAAACCCATATATGTTGCTTCAGTCTTCCTGAGAAAAATCTTCAATTTCTCAGATATTTCAAATCAAACCTAACTTGGGTGCAAATCCTGCATTATGTATTGCGCTTTTTCAGAAACATGGCACATTATTTTTTTAAGCAATCTCCTTTTCCAATTTTATGACTGAAGCAATTCTAGCAAGTCCTAAGGCACGACACCTAAAAACTTTAGGAAGCTAATAATATGATAAAGTTTTGATGTTCCTAATGTTCATAGTCACTGTAGATGGGAGATGACTGACCATCTGCTTTCAAAAGGAAAGGCTTGTACTGAAGTAATGGTTACCACTAATTGAGGCCAATCACCATGCTAAGCACTTTCCATGGTCATCATCACCATTTTACGGATAAAAGCACTGAAGCCTGGTGAGAAAAAGAGGGAAGAAAAGAAAAAAATCTCCCAACTGCCCAATTGACTAGTAATTGGCCTGAGATTCAATTCCAAAGCTGTCCTGTTCCAAAGCCCATGATCTTTCTATGGCCACACACTCTCAAAGGAGTCCATTGTTAATTGTTACAGGAGAAACAAAGCACAACTCAGATTCATATGTTGCCATTTCCACATTTCCTTGTGAAGTTTAAGCAAAGGAACACACAGCACAGTAGCTCTTTGGTCCACTAACTTTATACTTATACTTATAGACTTCATTTGGATGAATGATTACTGGGGGATTTTATTTTTCCTGAAGATGGAATCCAAAGAGTCATACCTAATTTCTTTTTTGTAAAAATTGGAGTAGCGTATAGATAACAAAAATGTATCGCTTAAACCATTTTAAAGTAAACAATTCCGGAACATTAAGCACATTCACCTTGTTGTGCATCCATTACACTATCCATCCCCAGAACTTTTTCATCATCCTAATCATGCCTCACCTTAAGATGGCATGTCAGCTAACACACAGAATTGCTTGCCTCATTAAGAATAATCATCTACCTTCTCTTCAGCCTCAAGCATTCATAGATAAAACCTGCTTGCTGGTGTGCAATCAACACCAACCAATAAAAAAGAAGAACAATTACTTTCTCAAATGGCCAACGTGAACACCAAGTAAGAGGACTTTGTTTATTTAACACAATAGAATTTCAAAGACTCCCCCACTTTAATCTCGACAATATTTTCACACCTGTGAAGCTAGATTATTTTAAATAATCTCTGACATTTGTAAACACACACGATCTAATAGCTCTGAAATGAGGCAATTGATATCATTATTATTAGGTATCATAAAGTGGCTTATAAAGCAGGAAGAGGCGCTCTTTCTATTTTGCACCTACGCCTGCAACTAAATTATTGTGTAAGCGAGCGACTTGGTAAAGAAAAAATTATCAGGATTCAAATTAAACATTTCAGCTCACATCATTGTCAAGGATTTGGCCGTCTTCTCTTTATCCAGTGAATGATTTTATTTGAGAGAATTTTTCTCCCACATGCCCTGCTCCCAGCTTTGGAAACTGGCACAAGTATAAGGCAGACTTCCATGCTTCCCTCGCCTAGAAACTCCTGTGCAGTTTAGTTCTTTTAAAATTTCCTTTTGACCATATCACTTTCATAGATGTAAGAGGAAAGAAAGGAGATAGGTTCTGGTGACTCCTCACTGTGTCATAATAGAGTGAAGATATTTCATGTTTTTCTACAACCTAACTGGAGAACCTTCTGTTTAGCACACTAATCCTCCACTCATTGTGTGCCACAACCCACCTTCCTGAGCATGTAAAATCCATAGGTCTGTAGCATTATTTATCTAACATAAATGTGCAACAAAAACTTACACTGAAAGTGACAAGGTGCCCCCTTTTGGAGTCTGTGTAATTTTTAGACTAATTATATCTTAAAACAAGGTTTAAAGTTTTTTGGGGTTTTTTTTTTTTTGAGTTGGAGTCTCACTCTGTCGCCCAGACTGGAGTGCAGTGGCCGCTCTCTCGGCCACCGCAGTCTCGACCTGCTGGGCTCCGGCGATCCTTCCGCCTCAGCCTTCCGAGTAGCTGGAATTACAGGCATGCGTTACCACACACGGCTGATTTTTTGATTTATTGGAGAGATGAGGTCTCGCTGCCCAGGTGGCTCTCAAACCCGCGAGCTCAGGCAATCCACTCACCTCAGCGTCCCAAAGGTGCGGGATTACAGGCTGAGCCACTGAGCCCGGCTAAGGTTTAAAGTTTGATTGCACACTCCAGATAAAAATATTTATTTATGATCTGAGAATGTTTTATATAAGGGTATCCCCTAACTCGTATATGGTAATGATCTGATGAGAAGAATTCTGGATTCTCAGTCAAAGAAAGTAGCACCCTGGCATAACTGTATTACACTGGGCAAGTAACTTTCTCATTTTTTCTGTGTTTCACTATCTCAGAATCTCACTGTCACAAAGTCCATTTGCAGTTTCATAGTCTCAGAGTCTCAGAGGTTCAAGTGCAAGAAGGGCCAAGGTTGTAGTTTTGAGATTCCAAAGTTTTCAATGCCTGGTCCCAGGGCCCTCCAGCAGCTAGCAGTTTAAAATCACCTCAAAACACTCAATGCTAGAAATAGACAGAATTTAAACAACACTTCAACCAGTCCCTCACTAAGCTCACTAGTAGATCAATCAGCCATTTAGCAATGCAGGAAGTTGTGGGATGAGAAAAATATCAAAGAAAGATCTTCCTGATATAAGTATGAAAGCCACCATCCTTCCCAATGCCATCTTAGTTGCTAAACATAACGTATGAATTAACAGTAAGAGTAACAACCGACTTCTTATCAGAAACGATGCAGACCAAAAAATGCTGAAAATAGGAAACTGTCATCCTAGCATTCTATTTCCAGTGATGGAGCTCAGAAAATGATACCCCAGAATAACGGCACTTTGACATGCTGGACGAAAGAAGCAGCCCCAAGTTCTCTCTGGCCTTCTCTCTTACCCCCGACTCCTGTCTCTCAATTCTCTGTCTCCCCAAAAGCACAGGGAGTTTCCTTATTACCTAGAAACCGGACTTGCCAAATAAGAACGCAATCTCCTTCAGTGACTTTCTTGAAATTTCATTAACTGGAGAAGGTTAAAATTATATTACAGGGAAGGGACTGAAAATTAAAGACCACAGCTAGAGCCCAGATCATCTTTGTCTCTGGTTCCATTCAGTTCTCCCCCCAGATTATTTACTAACCATTGTGTGAGTGCTGGGCCCATTTATTCCCCCCAAAATAACGTACTACTTCTCCAAAGGCCCACATTTCCCGTTTCTCTGTGAAGAAGAATATATAAGCATCTGGACCTCACTGGGTCATCGGGTAATTATTCTCTAGCAATTTTTCTGTGCTTATACACATCGAATAAATATGCATGATTTTTTTCTCCTATTAATCTGCCTATTGTCAGTTCATTTTCAGAGAACCTTTAGAAGGCAGAGGGAAAGCTTTCCCTTGACCCCTACACCAGCAAAAATAGCTTTTCAATATAAAGAGAAAATAAAACAATTTAATTTAAACAAAAACTAATATAATTTATTATCAAAAGATTCCCCCTAACTACCAGGAAATGTTAAATAAATGAATGAATAAATTCTGCAGGAAATTGATACCAGAAAGAATTTTTAGTGTACAGGAAGAAATGAAGGGCTCTTAATCCAACTACTGGGTATTTATACAAAGGAAAGGAAATCAGGATATGAAAGGGATACCACACTCGCATGTTTGTTGCAACACTATTTACAATAGCTAACACACAAAATCAACCTAAGCATTCATCAACAAATGTATGGATTAAGAAATGTTTTATGAACATCCAATGTAATACTATAAGAAAATGACTGACAGTGGTGGGAAACTATGGGGGTGGGAGGGGAAGGGAAATGGGATTAACGGAGGTAAATATCTGTCTGGGGATGGGGAGACACCTCTTATCAACAAGGGTGCCTGAACGAAGCATATTTGTATGCCTAACCCTTAACTGTACCCCACAATATCATAATAAAAAATATTGACTAAAAAAAATAAAAAATAAAAAAAAAATAAAGCTTCATCTTCTATGGAAAAAAAACCAAAAACACCAAAACAAAACACAAAAAAGCAAACAGACAAACAAAGAAATGTTTTATATATATATAAAACATACACACACACACACCCATACAAGTTGTGTGTAAGGGTGGGATGAAGACAGGTTGGCTAATGGTTACAAAGATAAAAGCAGATAGAAGGAGTAAGTTATAGTGTTCGATAGCATGGTAGGGTGGCTAAAATGAACAGTAATGTATTATATATTTCAAAATGGCTGGAAGAAATAATTTGAAATATTTGTAGCACTAAGAAATGATAAATGCTCCAGGTGATGACTTGATCATTATACATTCTATGCATGTATCAAATATCATATGAATCCTGTAAATGTGTACATTATATATTAACAAAAAATTCAAACAGAAAATCTATGAATAGCTATAAAAGACCATGTGTCATTCTTAAATGTTTTAAAAGTGAAAATGTATAGTTTAAATAAAAATAATGTATGGTAGTATGTATAATGCATGTAGAAGCAAAATATATGCTAACAAAAACATGAAGGATAGAAAGTACAGTAAATAGAATTTACTATTTGGGCAAAAAATCAGGAAAAATATAAAAGATTCAAATAGCACTATCAGCAAAATTGCTCTAATTGACATTCATAGAATACTCCATTCAACAACTGTAGTTTGTACATTGTTTTAAAATGTACATAGCATATTCACGGAGACTATATCTTACACAATAAATTAAGTCTCAATTGAAACCATATAGCTTGTTTTTTAACCACAATTAAAATAAATTAAGAATCAATAATAATAAATTCTCAGAAAAACCCTCAATTGTTTGGAAGTTAATTAACACATTTCTAAGTAACCCATAAGTCAAAGGAGAAATCAAAGTGAAAGCTAGGAAATAGTTTGAA